CAGTTAAATTATGAGCTTTTAATGTGTTTTTGGATGAATGTAATTTATTGCAGTTAAATATTTATTTTTAATGAAGTGAATCACAGTGTTAAGTCTTGCAGTGGTGAGACAATTCAGTCATTCTTGCTAAAAGTCACATGATAGACATCCGTATTGAGATTATAAATTCCTTTATGATTCCAATCCACTGCTTTTACTTTACCACCCAAAAGTTTCAGCTTCAGTAGAAGATAGATCGACGCAGAAGTATTAAAACTAAAAGGAATTTAAGGCTGAACCAGAATTTTATTCAGCACTGCTTGCAACTCTTCCTACAGTTTGGCCCCATCCACGATGGATTCTTGGTACATTCACCGACTTTGGCCCACGCAGAACAGCGTTTGTCTGAATCTGTACATGCAGGTGCTGCGAAAAGAGAATAAAAAGGTCAAATCTGTTAGAAATACATGTTAAAAGGTAGAAGAACTCGAGCCAGTTCTCCAGAAATTCAGTAATAGAGAAAAAAAAGTAAAGTATGTTTTTCAGCCTTTTCCTCTCCATCGTTCATTGATATCGAATTGATCTCGGTGAAAAAACGTCGTTCAAAGATAATTTCACTTACTCTTCCTCATATTCATTTAAGGACGAAGGGTAATGGAGGAAAAACAAAACCTGACTTCAACTAAGTTAAATTTGGTATCAAGTGGTGTTGCTTGAGAAATTGAAACATGGTTCTCTTTACTCTTGTTGACTTATTTAGTTAATTTTTTCGTTTATCTAAGCCGTAAATGATCGATGGACGTAAGGTATTTTGCAAGCGCTAGGTCTACGATTTCAGTCAGCGTTGCCATCGTTTTCACAATTAAAACCGTGATGCACAAAAGTGACATTACTGAAGAGTTATTAAATAAATGCATGTGGGAATCTTTGGGAACATGAGATGACTTCCAAAGAATTCAAAGCGTCGGGCATAACCGTGGAAACCTGTCTCGTTTTCTTGAATAATTGTAGGCTTACGGTATCTAATTTAATTTCATAGAGCAATTTTCAATGTTGAGTGTCGAAAGTAACCCGGGATTTCTTATGTTTTGCATTACCTTGCTCTGTAATTGGTCCAGAGAACTCGCATCGCTCTC